TAAACAGAGAAACCCTGTCTCAAAGAGAGAGGAGAGAGAGAGAGAGAGAGAGAGAGAGAGAGAGAGAGAGAGAAACACCATGACCACGGCAACTCTTACAACAGACAAACATTTTCAGAAGTTTAGTCTATTGTCATGGTGGTGCAACGGGGGCATGCAGGCAGGAATGGTGCTGGAGAAGGAGCTGAGAGTCCTACATCTTGACCTGCAAGCAACAGGAAGTGGTCTAGGACACTGGGCATGGTTTGAGCGTATATGAGACCTCAAAGCCTACCTCCACAGTGACACACTTCCTCCCAACAAAACCATACCTAATGCAACAAAGCCACACCTCCTAATAATGCCACTCCCTATGAGCTTATGAGGGCCAATTACATTCAAACTATCACAATAAATCAAAATGGATCAAAGACCTTAATGCAAACCCTGAAACTGCTGCCAGGAAAACACTTCAAAATACAGGTGCACACAAAGATTTCCTGGGAAAGAGGCCAGCAACTTAAGAACAGTAAGAGCAATTGCATAAATTTAAAAACTACAACACAGAGAGACGGCTCAGCAGTGGGCAGACTGCTCTTCCTGAGGACCTGGGTTCGGTTCCCAGTACCCACACAGTGGCTCACAACCATTTGTATCTCCAGTTCCAGAGTATCCAATGCTCTTTTTAGGCTTCTGCAGACACCAATCAGGAACATGATACATATAGATACTTGTAGGCCAAACACTAATACATACAAAATTAAATCATAAATAAAAGATGGCTGGCCATGGTGGTGCATGCCTTTAATCTCAGCCCCATGAGGCAGAGGCAAGTGGCTCTCTGTGAGTTCAAGGCCAGCCTGGTCTACATAGTCAATTCCAGGACAGTCAAAGTTACATACTGAAATCCTGTGTCAAAAAAAGAAGACAGAGATGAAGACGAAGAGGAGGAGGAGAAGAAGGAGAAGAGGGAAGAAGAAAGAAGAAAGAAGGAAGAGGAGGAGGGGGAAGGGAAGAAGAGGGGGAGGGGGAGGGGGAGGAGGAGGAGGAGGAGGAGGAGGAGGAGGAGGAGGAGGAGGAGGAGAAGAAGAAGAAGAAGAAGAAGAAGAAGAAGAAGAAGAAGAAGAAG